TAGATTATTTTCCTAAAATGGATTCCTAGTTCAGAGTCAGAAGTTATGAATATAGCCAGATGGCTTTGTAGAGAGGCTGTATTTGAGTTGTATTTTTGTGGATGCCTACCTTTCCTTATTCTTAACAGATCTGAGGATTTTTGCTTATAAGGATTCTGCATCGGCACTCCTTTTTATTTGGCAGTTTTAATTTGTTAAATATATTTGCTAGCCATTTGAATTTTCTTCATGAACTATATTTAGGTCTTTTGTATATTTTCATATGAACTCTTAAAATATTTTAAGAGACAACTGGCATCTTCCCACAGAATCATTCATCACTCTTAAAAAAATAAATTTCTCTTGCTAACCATTCTTCTATAAACTCAGCTTGCCCATATGAGAAAGAGAAATCACCGCCACTCATTGTCTGCGGTGTAGACCTCTCAGACTTTTGCTGGGGAACCAGTCTCTTTTGTCCGACCTCCAGAGTGCGTTCCGAGGCATGGTGGCATTCAGCAGGACTCTGAATCCTTCAGAGTTAGTTGCTTGAGAGATTTCATGAATTCATAAAATCCTGGAATAACACAAAGCTCAAAATCTGCATCTTGGTCTTAGGTGATTGTTTTTTATTATAGTATTGCTACAACAGAAATTATACTTAATCATGCAGTTAGTTACTTTTGACACAATGTGGCTTTTTCCCATTTCCGTGTGTGTGTATAGGCATGTATGTTTTATACACACACATTTAATTGTGTATAACATGTTACATAAATATGTAAACGCCAAGAAAGAAGCTTTTCTATTTTATAATCGTGGCTGCTGGTTTTTTCCCCTTAAGTTTACCTCTATTATATTTCCTCTTAGAAAGTTTTTCCTCAGGACACTCATCATTTTGGAGGCCCTAGATAGCCTCTGTGCCTTACTGATAGAAGTACAAGAACCATTGCAATGATGCAAAGATTCTGTCTGAAGTCTTATGGAAAGAAAACGGTTGGATTTGAGAGTTGGTGAAAGAATGAAATAGCAAAATCAGTAGATTGATGGCTTTCAGGTCTTCTTGTGATTTGTGGGTCTTCCTGCTATCTTGCTTCAAAAGAGCATCCCCTCCTGTGAATATGGTAGCAGTAACCACAGTTTCCAGTTAGGGATATTTCCACAAGTGTTTTCTCACCTCTCACTGTAGATGAATAGATAACATGTCTTTTTGGACCATTTCACGCTGTGTGAAAAAGATGATGTTGCTGCTTAGCATGTGGTTTAGATAATACCTAGTTTTGTTCATTTTGATAATTTTGCCTACCTTTCATCTCAGTAGCATGACTTTCTCATGTAATAGCTCGCAACTCTCTGGTGAACAATGACCATAGATGTAGAAATGAAGACCCACAATGTGATGTCATATCGTACACATCAATTGCAATGTCCAGATTCTCTCTTCCTCGACATAGCTTTTCTCCATTATATCCCATCAATTTCCTTAAAGACAGCCACATATCAACAAGTCATCACTGCACATGCTTGGATTGGTTCTCAGAAGATCTGTTCTGCAGAGTGTGCCATCCTACTCGGAACATACTCATGCTGTAGTAAAGGGTCAAGGCCACAGTTGTTCTCAGAGCAGTCAGGACAGTGGTGTGCAGAATTTGTCAGTGGAGTTGCATATGTTGTTGGCTGTCAAACACATAAACCCGAACCTTCTATTCTGATCTTGTGTAGTAAAGATTCCTAGTCTTCCATCTTTAACTCGAAGAGAAAAAAGTTAAATCTGTTGAATTTCTCTTAGGGCAACAGGTATTATGCGTGCCCTCCATATGTGTATAACTGTATTGAGATTGTACAATGATGCAATGTACAGAAGACATTCTCCAACCTTAATATCAGACCATATAGATACGCGAATATGTCTGGATAGATATGAAGAAATTAAATGGGAACAAAAATTGGCACATTTATGTCCAATAAAAATTGTCAAATAAGAGCATGGTTGGATGTTTCTCAGTTTGAACCTAATTTCTTAATGTCTGAAAATCTTAATTTGGAAGAAAATGTGGGTAGAATCCTTTCTAAACTTCTTTTAATATATTTCTATTATTTTAAGTTGAGCATAAAGTCAGAACAATCTACTGAGAGACCACAAAATATTTTCAGTTAATTTAGTCCTGTTTGTGGTCAGATTTTGGCTTACTATCTTAATTCTTTGGTATTTGCAATATATTTCATATCAGAAATGGTACTGGCCCCAAACAAAACCAACCAGCCAATCAGCCAAACAATGGCAAAGAAGTTTACATCCAACAGTCTTCATATGCAAATAATTAGGGTTATCCCTGGATTCCCCAAATCATTGTCAGTTGGAACTGGTCACCAAAGAAATAATCATACAGTTAGAAAGAATATTTGATAGTTTTCAGGAGAATGACTGAATAAGCCTGTGATACCAGTAACTGTCCCCTTACAAAGCCAAGGTCGTCTGATACCAGTGCTTTTATTGGAATAGTTATTAGATAACTGATACAAAATTAGCCATCTTTAAAGTATAACTATGCATAGATTAGGGTTTAGTAAAAGTAATGTACATTTCCTATGGTGATTCTCAACCATCCATAACTCAAGCTCAGATTTCTTGGTACTCGGATCATATTAGGAACAGAACCCAGTTCTTCTGCAAGAGGAGCAAGTTCTCTTAACCGCTGAGCCATCTCTCTCGCCCCATCTAGTTTATTTTATGTAACCCTTCTCTACATGAAGATTTTGAAATTTTGAATGCCAGAAGTTTTCTCTAACATCTTAGGTCTTATAGAACAAGTTTAAGCAAGAAATGTTAGCTTTGTTCTCCATTCACATAATTTCAATTGACTTTTAAGAGAAATGCCAAGGTTTAGATAAAGGAATGGTAAACTAAATGAATTTTAAAAATACAGTCAGCTGTGATTGTTTTGAGCTTCAGATATTTGTTTAAGGATCCTGGAGAACCAAGAATTCTTTGTAGAACTCTGTAATTGACACTTCTCTTTGGACATGCCGTTTTGTGTTAAATACGTTTTTCATACTCCTCAGGCGTGTCATCATTAGAGATAATGGACCAACAATGTTGTAACTTCACAGCTGCTTAGATAAATGATGGCTTGGACTAGGCTTTCATTGGGTAGGATTAACTATGTTTAAAGATGGCAAAATGCCATTATAACATTAATGCCAAAATTTAATGAGAACCAGAAGTTTAACTTCAAGGACCTTTATAATTTAATATGGGAGCAAGATCGTGCTCTCATTATTTTAATGTTGTGTCTATTAAAATAAGTTTATC